CCCCCCCCCCCCCCCAAAGAAGCGATGGCCAAAGTGCGATACCACGTATCTCCATCGCAGTGTTTCTAAATTTTCGCTCCTATTTTTTGTTTCTTCGAGGAGAAACAAGGAAACTTTGAGTAAACAGAACATCTGCTAACAGAGAAGAAATATCAAGGAAGTTTTCAGGAATTTTACCTGATAACGTCCAGACTAGTCCTGACTAGTTCGCCAGAGAAAACTTAAAGTATGCACGACAGGAAGTCTGCGACGTCCCAAACGGGGATACCTGGTTTTGCACTTAGACTATTGAAATGTGACGGCTCTCGCTGATATAAGTGCGTGACTAACCTATCCTTCTTCTACCTTTCATAACACGTTTCAATTCATTTCTCGACCAGGATAGCTCAAAATTGCTCTTGAGTTGCCTTCTTCTCAAAATTTTTCCGAGGAAGCTCTCTGGAAGACCACCCTTTGTAGGTCCTAGGTATTTACCGCGGCGACAAATTGACAGCCTCGATATTCATTCAAACCGAAAAATTATAATCCGAACTTCGTGCGTGGAACCCAAAGTTCCGGTCATATTGATCTTTGAAGTTTTTGTATCGTGCATCCGAAAACTTAAGGTTCAGCTGCCGAAGTTTGGGTCACACATCTGAAGTACCTCGGTACTTTTGGTTGACTCCATAGAACCCTGGTAAAAATTGGCAGTAGAATCTGTGTTCCAAAATACCATAGACCTAAAGCCGGCTGTAAGATTTTCAATAGCTTCTATAGCCAGCTACACAATTTCTGATGGCCTTAGCCGATGGCGATTAAGCAACAGCCAGGCGATAAAGTGTATGCTAAACGTTACTAAATACGGATTCTAGGACTTAGTTAGTTTTTGGACTACCGCTCTCTTTTTATGCCGTAGTATCTTGATTTATTTTGCGAGGAAAGCTCCGTATTTTTGAAGGATGTCTGTCATTCTTAATATGTTGGAGCGTCTTCAATTTCTTATGATACTGTGCAATACCTCTGGTGTGAAACAGTTGCTTCAAGCGCCAAGGCAGGCGGGCAGCCAGCTCGAAACACGCATTGGCGCCTACAAACCTAACAGGGATACTTCACGCGTTGCGCAATGCGTGAAGTATCCCTGTTAGGTTTGTAGGCGCCAGTGCGTCGCCGCTCCGCTTTGTGTTAAGCTCTAATATTTAATCTGGCGGAGTCAGCTTTATTCAACTCATGATTTTGAAATGTTTGCACATCCTGTATGGATTATTCTCGTTTTAATTGATGAAAAAAAATATGTATTAAAGGAAAATATAATGTGTGTTTTGTAAATATTAAGGTAGTTCCGTTTCAAACTTAATGATTTCCAAAGCACACGAATTTCTACACAATTTCCTATAGCTTTTTATAATGGATGGCGAAAAAGCAACAGCCATGCAGGCGAGAAAGTGTAAAGCCCGGCGATAGGAACTATAGCCCGGCTGCATAATTTTTTATCGCTTCGTATAGCCCGGCCGTATGATTTTCACCGCATTCTACAGCCAGCTATATGATTTTCTGTAGCCTTCTTTAGCCGGCTATGAGAATTCCTATGGTATTTTGAAACGCAGCTCTTATCGCCAATTTTTACCAGGGAAGTTCGACCTGTCAGATGTGTGATCCAAACTTTGGCAGCTTGGACCTCAAGTTTACGGATGCACGATCTGAGAACTTCAGAGATCCACATGACCTGAACTTCGGGTCTCATGCGCGAAGTTTTTTTCTCCGTGTTTTAAAATTGTGTCGTATTCCAGCGTGCGGAAATGAATAAAGAATGCTTTTGACTTTCCGAAGAGGAAAATTCATACCTATACGACGACATCGTGGCCGGTGTCATTTCATTTAAGTATAGCCAATATTCATTCTCGTTAATACCTGCAGCGCGAAGCGTTCAATTTGGAGAGAAGTAAATTAAAATTTCTCATTAGAGTTTTAACGTTCAAAGACTTCAAAGGAGAGAAAACAGAACTCGAATATTCTTTGAACTGGATATTTTATCGTTTTCTGGTGGTGACAGTCTGCCCAGACAGATTTCATCATGACGATTTTTACTCGATGTGCCAACAATGCGTGCGGGAGGCCGTCTGAAAGGGTCAAAGCTGTCTGGAAGGGTTGAAGCCCTCAAGAGCCCTCCCCCATTCACCGTTTCCAAGTGGCGTCCCGTCCGGATGAGTCTGGATATCGAAAAGCCTGGACGCGAGTCTAGCTAGGTAGAAAATACAGTGTAGTTACTTCATGGCCCGCGGGGCAGAGAGCGCTGCTCGCGTCGCTGTCTTTGTTTTGATTGTAGCCTCTCCTCGCCAGTCTTTCGATTGAGGCAAGCGGTGCAGGAACCCGGCGCGGGCTGTCAGCGTCCTTTGTCCTGTGCTGTCCTAAACCCTTGCTGATAAGTGATAACTAGCGTTTCGTTCGCCTAGCAACTTGTTGCGGAGTGCTTTCGGACTTTTTAGTGAATTATTTCCATCGACTCGGTCGAGGCTCAATCGTTGAAGTTTTGCTTCGCGCATCACCTTAACCTAGAAACTCACCCAAGGGTGAAAAACTAGTGTGTTTTTGCTCCCAAGTTATATCTATGTAGTTCGAATGTGTGTCCAAAATCCAGGACTAAATTTTTCCCCGTTGTGCGTGGTTTTGGGAGTGAAGCCGGGGTTGTTAATTACATATCCATGGCTATTTGTTCAGTGGACGTTCCGCATTATTTTTCGGCCTACTAACCATCCCTTCAGTTAACAGATTCTCCCGTAATCGATTCGAATCTTTCTCAAGATATCAATCCGAGTGATAACATAGCTTCATCCTAAGCTGCGGCGCACTCATTTCCTTCGACAACCAAGCTGTGATACTAAACTAGTCCATGTACAGTACAAAATAACATCGATTTGCTATCAACATCGAATGCTTTGCCCCCGCAGACTCAGTGAATTCTATTTCAGTTTGCCTTTCATTTGAACTGCAAACCTGCAACCATGTCCAATAAATCAGTAACTTTCGGTGGAGTTTTCCACTTCCCATCCCACCCCAAAACCCACAACTCCCCCCTGAACCCCGACAAGAAAAACCAGAAGATAGTGGTCGATAAAGCGGAGAAAACTGAAACTGTTAAGAAGGGTTTTAACTGCGTTGGAACTCTTAGAAATAGTTTGAAAATGGTAGGCTCTAACGGTTCGACACTGATTGCTATTCGTCTCGTTCGCAGTAAACTGAGGAAAAGAGATGAGAACCAGCTGAATCACGTGAATGGACCTACTGTCACCAACCACAATAACAACATCATCTCGCCTCCCGATGTAGTTGTGTCCACCGTAACTGCTGTTACGTCGACTCAAACTGCCGTTCTTCAGCCATCTCTGGAATCGACTGCTGTCCCACCACCATTCCTATGGCAGTATTCCGCCAGCAAACCTGTCAACAAGACATCTTCGCAGTACACCTTGTACAGCAACGACCAGGTAAGAAATTTTCCATTATCCATTTCGGTGTGCATGGAATGAAAGGTGATGGGGGTATACCTGAAACTTTGTACATTGATATCAATGAATCCTACCAGAAATCTTGGGTGAGAATGCTCCAGTTCAAAAATCAGGTGGAATTAAACTAGGAACTGTCACTGCTCCCTCTCAATCTATTTCTCTGCAGTGAGGCTGTATTTTCAACATATTTATTTAAATCATTTGAGTCGCATCTAAATGTCAGCTCAGGAGGAAGCAAATTTTTTTAATTTTAACGCACTAGAGTAGCCTTTTTACTAAACTGGTTTTTCTATTTTTTTAATTTTTTATTTTATTGAAAGATTAAATAGATATTTTTCTCCATGCTATTTTTTTCCCTTGATGCGCATTATTATAGTTGAGGCGCCAGAATTAACCTCATATCAAGAATTCCAAAACGTATTTTACCTTAGCTTTATTTACACGTATTAAATATCTCTTAAAATGGATCCCCTCTTAGCTCCCAAGAATAACTCTGAGATAGAAAGCTCCCTTTGTGACAACACTAAAAATTCTCAATGATCCCTGAATAATATTAAATGACATCAGCATCTTTACTCAGACTCTTTTACTTAGATTGGGGAAAGTTCAGGGCTCTGATAAAAAAGGGAACCTCTTGAAGGAGTCATACCCATGGGGTCCTCATTGCAGTACAGTGTTGCAAAGCATTATTTGTCAATTTACTTTTTTACTCCAAAATTATCTCCAATTTCCATCTGAAATTCTGTGAGTATTTTTTTTTTTTTGTGAAGAGCCAAGTATAGAACTGCAGTAGAAAATTTGGATGGGGCTAGACGTGTAATACAACGATTTCGACTTTTTAGTAGATTAAATTGCATATCCATGAGATGAAGGAGACCGTGAAATGTGTTCGACCGTCTCAGAGACTTTAACGCAGAGCAGAAAAGTTGGACGAGGGCGAAACGCGTGATACAATTATTTTGACTTCCAAGTAGGTGAAATTGCATAGTCACGAATTGAAGGAGAACAGGGAGTTTTTTTTTATCATCCCAACCATTCGCTTCGTCAAACCCTACTGTCAGTTTGTTCTGTTCGTGTGACCGAACTCACGAGGTGAAAAGAACTGACGGAAGAAGTTCGTTTACACGATCCGAACGTCTGCTTTCACGAATCCAAAAATTGGTGTTATCCTTAAAAGAGTGAACACTTAACACACTGATTTTTACAAAAACTTTTGATAAGGATGTTGATATTTTGTGAAAATTAGTGCGAATGCTCTGATTATTACAAACGAGTGCAATAGCGTTTAAAAAATTACAGCGTAATCGTTGAAATTTTGAGAATTATAATGTGGAAGCGTTGTACCCTAAGTAAATCAATGCGAGCGCGTTTCATTTTTTGAAAATATCTGCAAATACACTATTTTTTGGTGAAAATTACTGCAGGCGCGCAGTGTCTTTATGCGTAGGCCGAAGAACTTTCTGCACCCTTGTGTGAGAGTCGCGTCCGTTAACGCGCGAAGGAATACGTTGCCAGGAGAAATTTCGCAGCGTTGCAACGCGACCCTTCCCATCCCAACGGTCACACGTTTAAAATTCAATATTGATTTTATCTCGACTTGGCAACAGCGGCGGGCGCAGGGTTGCCAACTCTACCGCCGCGCTGTCTGGCGTCTAGCCGGAGGCGAAGGTTCGAAATTCATCGCGGCCGGTTTTTTGTGTCCGTTACCTGTGCCCTGTAACGATTTTTTCTTGCTAATGCATATAGCTCCTCTCCCGCCTCCCCCCGCCCGCGTTGATTCATTTGTATTGTCAACGCAGCCAATCTGAATGGTGGGTCGTCTTCGGGCTCGGGTCTATTCTGCCGCGCTGAGGAAGAACGCCGTATGAGCCTTCAAGCGTTGCCATATCTTCGAGAAATCTCGAATTTTCGGGAATATTTGTAAACTTTTGTCCTCCAATTTTTTGAAGAATTTTTTTCGTGATTTAATCCAAAATATCTGAAAATTTTAAAGGAGGACATGCATAACTTTCCTCTAAAATACACGCTTCATCCCGGGAATTTTGGCAGCTCTTGAATGTTCATACGGCGTTTTTCCTTAGCACGGCAGTATTAATCCCAGACCGTTTTCTCCGTCAGACTGCTGCGTTTCCATTAAAAGGTGAGCTCTCGATCTCCGATGCCGAAGCGTGAATGGTCGATTATCGATATTTCCCCATTTGAAGCCACTGTGAAGAATCGATTATCAAGGTGTTCGTTGGGAACACCCTATTTATCGATTCTTTACCATAGCTTCAAATGACAGATGAATCAATTTATCGTAAAGCATGCCACGCCACTGATGCCGAATCGTGAACGAAATTTTCAATTTTCCCGCCTTTCATAGCGAGAAATTAGGGCATCGTTTAATTTTCTCGAAGCAGAAACAATCACACGTTTCTCGTTTTATTTAGTAGTGTGATGAAGTGTGCGGGTCTATTTTTTCTGGAAGAAAAAAAATGTTTGAGAATAGAACAAAATTTGATGTTTTTTTGGTATTGGATAATCTGGAAAAGCTATTAATTTTTTCATTTTTAGGCGCCTTTATGTGCCAGGTGAAAATCGAATTTTTCTTCTACTAACATCTCCCCTGAGATTTAGCCCATAAAAAAAACTTCTAGAATAATTTTTCTTTATCTGCCTGTAATGGATTTTTTTTAAGTGTCTCGTACCTAAAACGAACAAGATTACTCAAATTACCTAATCTTGTTTCTCTGTGTCAATATTCGCTAATTTATGATTTAATGGGTTTTCTTTTCTCTTCCCCTCTCTCTAGTGTTAATTCAGCACTAATGATAGGCCCTAATTACCTGATAGTTCTGATGAGAAGGGAATTATTAAAAACAAAAATAAATAAAAATCGTCGTTTTTCAAGTGGGGCCGTCTAAAACTTTTCAACGTCAACACCTAATAGCAACTTATCCTTTCACCCACTGACTCCTCGCAATCTTATTGCAAATCGGGTTTTAGGGGTTTCTAAGCGATTGTTCTTTTTCTTTCTCAGGGTGTCTACAAGTCCGGAATTTCCGGAGAATCCGAAAATAGTTCTGATTTTTTAAGGGCGGACCGGAAGTACTGAAAAACTGCAAAAATTCCGAAAAAAGGCCAGGAATTTTCTTTAATTTTTTGTCATTTTTGTCGCAATTTCAAATTTTTTGAAATTTTTCTGATTTCGTCAAATGGAGGTACTAAAAAAGTACGGAATTTTTCTGTTGGAAGAGGTACTGAATTACTTCAGAATATACTGAAAAAGTACTGTAAAAGTTCTTATTTTCGACCAGCCTGTTTTAGTAGACACCCTGTTTCTCTTTTTTTGGGCAGTTCCAAAAGCTTGTGGCAATTCGGTCATGTCCAGGAAGTCTTCTCGTAAAGTATCGCCGAGGCTTTTTATTGCCCCCAACTTTCTCTCGCGATTGAAGAGAGCTCGGGCGATATTGTACTCTTTTAATTGGACTTGAAAGCTCTGTTGCCTCAACGGCGAGGGACACGCAAAATCTCCAACAGTTTCCTCGTGTGGAGCCCATGATTTTTCTCGTGTCACCGGCAAATGCGCCGAGAGGTATCAGATTCGCGTGGCTGCCAACCACGGAACACCGTATGTGGGAAAATTCTCCCTCCCAGCCGCCGCTCGACCGCCTCGCCCAATCCGTCTGCTGTGCCAGACATTTCACCCCACCCATGCCGCCGCACTAAAAGGCAAAACAACGTATCAAAAGTGGAACGTTGCCACATTTTCTTTGCTAAAAAGGCATAATGGGCCTGTTGCAAACTTTTGCTAGAGCAAAACTAAGAGTTGTTTCTTATAGATAATGCCTCAAAAATCACGATGAGCGCATCGGCAAAGTCTGAAATGCACTTATAACTTCACAATCTGCGTAAGAAATTTGCGGTTTTTTGAGCTTCCCGCTTCAAAAACGATACTACGGCACAGGTGAACATTTTGTTAGAGGAGTCGCTCCATCGTCGGCAATATTCATCATGGCCGACGCTTGCGCAGTTCTGCGCGTAATTCGAGGAGAGTTCAAGGTCAATCAAGGCGGGCGAGAAAAATATGAACGTAAACACGCCGATTGTTACTTGGTCTAATCCTGTTCAGGTGTTATCTCGTACCATCACACGTGTTTTGGCGGATTGGCGTCGGCCATGATGAGTATTGCAGACGATGGAACGACTCCTCTAACAAAATGTTCACCTGTGCCGTAGTATCGTTTTTGAAGCGGGAAGCTCAAAAAACCGCAAATTTCTTTCGCAGATTGTGAAGTTATTAGTGCATTTCAGAGTTTGCCGATGCGCTCATCGTGATTTTTGAGGCATTATCTATAAGAAACAACTCTTAGTTTTGCTCTAGCAAAAGTTTGCAACAGGCCCATTATCCTTGATTTAGTATTTTCGCGACCGTTGTGGTTTTTTAACACTGACGAAGGGCGCAGCGCAACATGAGCATTTCGATGCAAAACCAGGGCGCCTTCAATTTCTACCAGGCAACACGCACATCCACAGAGCACGAATAGTTGTATCCATGCGCCGTGATGAACCTCGCCTGCTTTCGCGCATCCAGCGGCTGCAAACCGAACTGAAACGGAGAGGATTTCGATGGTGAAGGTGAAATTTATTGCCAAACCACGTGTCTCGATTTTTTGCCACGATTAGTCGTTTTTCGCACGAAAGAACGTAAATACATTTCAAAGTCGCCAGGTTTTTCCGCGCAAATTGCATTTTTACTAGGAAAATTCGAGAATTTCTTACCGCAAATACGATTAATTTTTACTTAATAGCAAATATTCTACGAAAATTATGCAAGTTTACTTACTCTCGGAAAAAATTGAATTGTTTGAGTCAATTTTATGACCTTGGATCGAGTTACGTTCTTTGTGCGGAAAGCGATAAATGGGTGCATTGTTCGAGTGGGTAGGTTACTTTTAATTTTTTTTTTTTTGCGTTTCGGTTACGGCACCATTCCT